CTCTGTGTGTGGATGATATGTAAATCACGATTATATTTCTATACATTGGCTGTAATCTCTTGTATCTTTATTTATATACACAGATTGCCATTTCATTGTACTGTCGATAATTTTAAGGGATAACCTTCCCAGAGATATATATACTCTGCCTCTTTCTTTCTCTCTCTCTTTTTTCACCGCGGTAATATAAACCACGCTACGTGCCACTGTTTCGGTGCGGTTGAATTAAAACTACATCTTTCGCGACCGGTGCGACAGTAGTTAACTGAAATTTGAATTTTAACGGCGGAGTACGGCACGATACGCGGTTCATCGCCGTCGTTGCTTTTAATTACGCCGTCGTATACGGACATGTGTGAGAACGGATGAACGAGCGAGTGAGCGAGCGAGTGAACATGCACGCATTGCCGAGGATGGAAAAAATTGCGCTCTGCCATGAAAAAAGTGTACGGTGCGCAATAGCATTAAGCGCCACTACCGTGTCCCTCTTTTCCCTTCCGCGAACACGTTTTAATTGAACCGCAGAGATTCGAAACGCGGACTTTTGAGGCGCATAAGAAGAAAACCGAAAGCGCGCGCAAGAGAGAGAGAGAGACTTCTCTTCTCACAGCAACGTTGATTTCGTCGAAAGAACACGGACTCGCGATGAATAAGGGCGGAAATTACATCTACGTCTATCCGCGTATAATTCCGCCTTCGTGGAACTTTTCCGATGGATTTGGCCCTTAAGCGACTCGATAAATCTCTATCCGCCTTCACCTCAGAGAGGCACTACTTAAGTTCCTCTGAAAATGAAATCGTAATTGACGCCACGAGGCGTTAGCGTGACTTTTTTTACATTCAGTAATAGTATTTACACAAACAAAGCAGTTTTAAATGTGTGATAGCAGAAGAGTTGCTGCGACGAGGACGACAACGATTACAAAAGTCAAACCAAGTCTTGCTCGGGCGTTGCAGGTAAGAGCTACCTTATCGCGTATGTATGTACCCGTGGTTGGAACAGTTTAAGCTGTGACCACACACGCGAGTCGGTTAAAATATGCACGTGCTGTCACGTGGAGAGTCGGTGCCTTTTTTTTTTATTTTACGCACGGCATCCTCGCCACGATATCCCGTGCGTTATTTTGTGCCGCGCCATCAAAAGTGAAACGGGGGACCTGGCTTTTATTGCGAAATCCCGAATGCCGTGATGCTGTCATATCGAATTCCCTAAAATTGAAAACGATTCGGAGTATAAACAATTCGGATATGCGCGTTCGCGCGCCGGCTGATTAATATACATTTTATTGCATGACTTTTTACCTTCAGCGACGTGCTAAAAATTAACAGAGGCGCTCGGATGCTCGCTGTGTGTATACACTTATCTGAAACTTTTTGTCCCGGCATCTCTTTCTCTCTCTCTCTCTCTGCCTCTTTTTCCCTCCGACACTCTTTCTCTCTTCCTCGCGACGGTATCTGATTATAGTTCTCTCGAATGAATAGCGCCAAGTTCGCAGACTGCGTCCTCTTTTCTAAAGTACTTTTTTATCGTCGGCGTTCTGATCGCGAACTTTGAAACCATGCCTGCTGCGCATTATTTCCACAGAAAAGTTCCAGATATCCACGTCCTTCGTGCCGAGTGCCAAATAATCGGCGTATTTTCGAGAGAATTCTCGACCCTCCGTTCACCAACATTCCCAACGACATGCGTGTAGATACACATGCTGTCAAAAAGCCTCAACAAGTTCGAAAAATAAAAAGAAAGATAAACGACTTACGCAATAAAAGTTGCGTGGCAATTCGTGCTTCTCGCAATTTCCTAATATTCATAGCGCTTGGTATGATTTATCATCAATTATATTGCAATTTTAATTTGTTTGATCTTTTTTGTGCTGGAGGCCTATAAATCGTTTCGGCACCGAAACGTACGTTGTAAAGAAAAGATTTCTCTGCCGCAGATAATCATGATTTGCTGAGAATATGTTTGCTGCTATAACCGGAATTTTATCGCTACTGCTGTTACGATGGTTTCATAGCTAAATATACGCTTATCGGCAGATATACTTTTAGCTATCCGTATGTTGCAACGAGATTTTGCTATCACACAGCTAGATTCTTGTTGCCGCAGCTAGTTCGTTTTTCTCGTGTATACACGTATGTATAACTTTGATGATGGTATTTGTACCGCGATACTTTGACCAATACGTGCACTCGCAGCAGTATGTGTGCGTTAGCTTTTATTTGTCCCTGACACTTGTATTTTGTTCTCAGAGTCGTGTCCTTGTCTAGTTAAAAGTTGCCAAGTTTCTCCTGAGAGAAAGAGATGCGGAGGTGAAATTCGCGAGGGGAAATTCGCGAAGCGTTTCCAAATCGAACTTACGGATATGAATCGCGCGCATTTGCGAAATTGAGAATGTCGGGTTTAAGCTGAACATCCAAGGAAATGCAGTCTTGGAAAATAGTCTCCTCCACTGCATACAATTACGCGAATTAATTCAACATTCATCAACGTCGCGCGGCACAGTCTGTTATAAATGTTATTTCCATATTACGCGCATATAAACACGCGCAGCTGATTACGATACCCGCGAAATATTGCAGTGTTATTAGTTTCTGACAGTTATATAAAATGTTGTATAAATGTTGTTATTCTAACAGTTTTAAACGTTGCGTTTTCCATTTTAATGTTTTGCCTTTGTGCCGTTTTAAACGCTACGTTGTGTAGTAGCAACTCTTTGAAATTCTGGTTTGTATAATTTTTTTTTATATATATAGTAATAGTATACGCGTGTTATTTCAAGCTATATCTTTCCGACGTATTTCCCGATTTCTCTTTTCACGAAAATTCCCGCTGAAAGAGCAGCCCCGGTGCAACACACACATCGGCGATATACGTGTGCGCGCGGCTTATTATTATTGTCCGTAGCTGTGCGTCGCGGTGATCAACAAGAGTTCTTACTTTGCACAGGCGACTTGACTGCATCAAGTCACGAAACATTAATTGGGACACACGTACTTGGGACTTAAATGTAACGTAGCCGGCGCAACGGGGTAGGGTGGGGGGGAGGGGAAAGGTGCGCCAAAGCCACGTAATATACCATCGCTGTTATTAGGTGCCTCAATAATTGCGCGTGCAATTAACGCGAATACATCGGATATTAGCGTATCGATAGCTCGAGAATTGTGATCCATTTGATGCAGTGACCAGACAATTATGAAACTGGATTTTCCCGATATTTGAATACGCGCTCGGAAACTCGGTAGATTGCGCCCGGAATTGCCGTTTAAGCTCGTTACACATTATGCTAATTCGTCCTCGACGTTTCTAACATTTTCGTCGCGCGACGAACACACAAAAGCGGCAGCTTTTGCTCCGGCGTTTCATCGAATTTTCAACAGCTCTTCTGCCTCTTTTTTTGTCGCGACAACTCGCGTTTCGTGTCGGTTCGCGCGCGCGTTGCGGCTTCGCGATGCGATATATGCACACACACACACAGACATCTATAATATACCAGAGCGTGAATCTCGTTATATATTCTCTAGATTCAATACCTATGTATGATTCAAAAGCTATGTACTTAAATAACGCATTGGCGGTGTTTCTAGTAACCAATTTACTTTATAAATATTAGATGCTTGCAAAATTTTGTAAGGTCACAAATAGATGACTGTAGTAGCGATTTCTTTAATTAATTGTTTTCTTTTTAATCGCTTTTTAGTTTTTCAATGTTAGTCGATCAGAATTGATGACTGACAATTTATAATTCCGGACAAAACGTTATATTTGACGCGACTGAAAATGGAACCAAATAAAGTTTATTTTCACCACTGTCACTTTAATCGAGATGAAACTGTTGCACAACTAAAAGACTTATTTGTGAGACCTATTTGTGAAATCTATTTGTGAGACCTATGGAGAGAATATTGTGTCCATTGCTATCCGTCTGTGAGAAGTGATTTAAAAGATTTAGAAATGGTGATTACGATGTCAACAACAAGTGTTACGTTCTGATCGTCCAAACGAAATGGAGAACGAGCTGGAAGCTCAGTGAAAATTCGGGCCAAACATTAAAAGAGCTTGTAGGGCAGCTTGGAATTAACAGTATCTCGCTATTTGAAAGCAATAGCAAGATCTAGAAGGAAAGAAGATGGTTTCCCCATGAACTCTCTGCAAACGCGATTCATTTCTCCTTGCTTGCCAGGCACAAAACAGGAGTTTTCTATGAATGGTTAGATGATGAAAAATGGATCTGTTTTGACAATCCTAAATGCAAAAAGTCATGGATAGATTCCAGCCATCCACAACAAATCGCAACATCTACGATCATAAGGTTATCCTGTGCATTTGGTGGAATCAAGGAGTGCTTTGCTATGAATTATTACCACCGAGGCAAACAGTCATTGAAAATCATTACAGTCAGCAATTATGGCGTTTGAACCAGACCAAGTAAAACGCCCTCAAATCGCCACAAATCGACACAAAGTCATTCTGTTTCGCGACAAAGCCAGGCCGCATGTTGCTGTTGCGACTAAAGAGACGTTGTTTGAGTTAGGTTGGGAAGTCCTGCCGTACCCAGCGCACTCTCCAGACATCGTCCAATCGGATTTTCATCTATTCAAATCAATGCAGCACGGTCTACTTGATATCGAAATGCTGAGGAAGTGCGAAAATAGGTCGTTGAATGAATTGCCTCAAAAGATGAGTCATCTTATCGGCGCGGGAAAGATGGTAGAACGTTATTAATAGTAACAGGGAGCTGATACTTTGATTAAAATATTATATGTCATCTCATTGTCATTAATAAGTAAAAATGGCTTTCACACGAACTTTTGCAAGCATCCAATATAAGAATTCTCCGTCTGTGAGGTTACTGAGTCGATGCTGTCGATGTGTATACATAGGAAACAGTGTGCACACGTTTGTACGAGTTTTACATTATATACCGGGACGTTCAAGGAGTCAAGGGTCACGGTCTATTGCAGATGCCAGATGGATAAATTTATACGCGCGACGTACTTACCAAAACAAATTATAAAACAGACGAGTGTGGGAAGAGAAGTAGACATCGCTTTTCCCCGGCGTGGCTCATTCACATATTGATATACTATCTCAGGCGCATCTCAGTCGTTTTTAAGAGACGCTAATTGCCGACGGATGGAGACTGATGCACTAGCACATTCCGCGCGTGTCGATCGTGACATTCCACGTACTCTCGATCGGTGCCGATGGAATCACCCCGGGCCACCGTAGATCCATGCACAGCCACTCGCGTGAAACGTGTATGTGTGTGTGTGTGTGCGACGCTGTAATCCTGTCTTATTATATTTGCTGTGTGGATTAGAGCGTTACACTCAATTAGTCCCCCCCCCCCCC